CCTAGCCACAGGGTCACTGAAACCAGGATCCCAGGACATGGCTGGAGTGCCCTCCCATCGTTCAGGTGTATTCGATGCCTGCATTTTCCTTCTCTCCTCTCCATCCCAGCTGTTGCGTTAGTGGCCACGGCCAACATCTATCCGTTTGCTGCGCCAGCTAATGACAAATACATATTTTAGCTCACCAAGTCTTCAGACACCCTCCTACTGTTATGGCCCTCATTTTACAGAGGAAGAAATTAACGAACAGAGACATCAAGTAATTGTCCCAAACGTCACACATGAAGTAAATGGTAAAGCCAGGACTCGAACCCAGGCCGCGGACGCTAGAGCACTCTCTCCCCTGCTATCATTTCCTATTTCGGCTCCTCATCGTTTCTTTCATTATTGCAGAAGCCTTTCCCTTGGTCTCTCTTCTCCAGCCTGACTACCCTGCCCCAGATTCCCCCGACCCCCTCCCGCTACCTACCAGACAACCTTCCCATAGCATAATGCAGCCATGGGGCTACTGCCCGAGAGATCCTTCAGGATGAAGTTCCCGCTCCTCGGTGACACACACGGTCCTTCATGATCCTCCCCTGGCCGCCTCAGAGGCTTTTGGAACTTCCTCCCAGACAGCGTCCCACCCCGCCCTCCCAGATCGCTGGACAGCCCCTCCCCGCCCCGGGCTCCTCTCTTTTGCACTCACTCGTAGTTTGTCCTCAAGGGCACGCACGTATGAGAACAGCGCCCAGGTTCCCAGAAGCAGACCCGGTGCCCCTCTGTGCCTTCGAGCCCTGTCATTGACTATTCACAGTATGTCCTAACCTGGACGCCACTCTTCTCTCGCTCCCTGCCTGGCCTCGGAGGTTCCTGAGGCCACCCAGGTGCTGGTGCACAGTAGTCTGTAAGAACGGGCTAAAGAGTATGACCATAACCCATTTTATGCCACCTTCCTAAACAAAGCCTAGGACACGGCAATGCCTCGAGTGTCCTTGGCTTTCCCTGGTCACTTGCCGGCAGGGGACCTTCTTCCCGGAGTGGGGTCGGGAATAACGCAGAGGCCACTGGGTTTAGCATGGCACATCTTGGGGTTGGCTGTGAGGGTCTAGAAGTAAAGAGCAGTGTCAGAAGACGATCACGAATACATTTACATCAGTCCCTCGCTGCACAGAGGTGATTCCAGGATGTTTTTGAGAGTTGTTTTAAAGAAGATAACTAAGGAAATTTGAAAGGGTGCATCACCCCCCCACCTTTTGCATGGCAATTATTTTTAGGCCAAGCCAATGCAGACATTCTTGGGATGCAGAATTTTAAAAAGAGCAGTGCGATTTTATTTATTTTGTTGAATCCTGGCACCTCAGTGACAGGCAGCCGGAAGGAAATTACCTTCACTGGTCTTGGCTTAGTCCCTTCTCTGCTCCTAATCATCCCTTTCCAGCCTACCTCCATTAGACAGAGCAGCTGTCCTTCACTGCTACCGAAATGCGGCTGAGAGTTACGTTGCCTTGGAAACAGAATCACTTTTTGCTGCAAGACACATCCTTCATCTGAGCTGTTAGGACGTAAGCTCCACCAGCAGGGCTGGGAGGCGACGCAAATATTCTGCCTGCTTGAACTTGGCCTTCGGGGCGAATAAATGACTTTCAATTAAAGCCCTTAAATATCTTTTAACCGTAATAATTATTACTAGATTCCCACCAGGGATCTTACTTGGAAAGAGTTAAAAAAAAAAAAGGATTCTGCCATTAAGGGAAGAGCTAGAGATTCTTTCAAACTAGGTGTTAGAGAAAATATGAGGGAGTTCGCAATTAATGGTTTCCTGGTGTGTAAAAGGAGAGCCTTTGCCTTTCTTTGGTTTTTGAGTTTCCCATTCCGTCGTACTGTGCATTCGTGAGGCTGGACTTCCCCCGTTCTTGTTTTGCTCTTCACTCTCGGCTTCTGTGTAGTGAACATACATATTTATAACCGGCTCCGCTTTCAATTAAAGCCCTTAAATATCTTTTAACCGTAATAATTATTACTAGATTCCCACCAGGGATCTTACTTGGAAAGAGTTAAAAAAAAAAAAAGGATTCTGCCATTAAGGGAAGAGCTAGAGATTCTTTCAAACTAGGTGTTAGAGAAAATATGAGGGAGTTCGCAATTAATGGTTTCCTGGTGTGTAAAAGGAGAGCCTTTGCCTTTCTTTGGTTTTTGAGTTTCCCATTCCGTCGTACTGTGCATTCGTGAGGCTGGACTTCCCCCGTTCTTGTTTTGCTCTTCACTCTCGGCTTCTGTGTAGTGAACATACATATTTATAACCGGCTCCGGGCGGGCTGTGCGGATTCAGAGCCTCTGTTCTCATCTACACCTGCCACCCACCCCTACTTTGCCGCTGTAATTCTCCCACAACCAGCCCCAGCCCATGCCGTCTCCCCGTCTCTGCTTCTGGGAGTCTCTCTTCACCCTCTGCCCACCGTAAGCTCAGTTACTGACCTAATTTGTTTTCTCCTGGACAACTACTCTAGTTTCTGCTGCGTATGTTGCTAGCTGCCTGGAAGAGCAGAGCTCAGAGACCCACGACGGTAGAAAGATCAACTCAACCCAATTCCAGGAACAAAACAAGAAACCCTTCAGCTCCCAAGATGCTCACAGTTGTTGAGTCTCATTATGGGCCCACAAGGCACTATTAAAAAACAAACAAAAACCTTAACACACACACACACACACACGCACACACACACACACCCCTTCACATTATTCAGAGTCTAACTCTAAATCATAGGAAAATCCCATATAATGGAAAGGAATGTCTTGAGTGGGCTGGGTTTGAACTCAGAAATGATGTGATCCCCTAACTATGCTACATCCCTATATCAATCCTGGAGAGAGTGTAGCAGCCTGAGAGGCCAATGGCAGTCACTGAGCCCACAGCCTAGGCCTTCCTTTGTATCTATCACCCCATTAATTGGCAATTTAGTCTTAGTTACTCTAAGAAATATTACTTTCATTTTATCCATGAAATGAGGAACCTGAGGCTTATAGGACATTTTTTGAAGTCATTCCCAAAACGACCACCCGAACCCTACGGAACGCCAGACGCTGAGTGTAGTGCCCCTTCCAGCTGCCTGCCTCCTTCAGGGTCTGGTGAGCTCTGAGTGTGGGCTGAAATCCAGGGGAGAATGTGAAGAACGTGGCCTCTAATCCCGGCTTCATCACCTCTGACAGGACTCTGGGAAAATCACTTAATTGTTTTGGGCTGACAAGTGGTGTGGTAGTTTAAGGTGCTGGACTCCCATATGGCTGACTGTGGTTCAAGTCCCAGGCCTGGTGGCTTGATTTCTCACTTTCTCTTTCTGTCTCTTTGTCCCTCTCTAGTCAAATGAAAATGGACGAATAAATAAAGTTAAATAAAAAAATTATTCTTTAAAAAAATTACTTAATTGTTTCAAACTCAGATTTGTTCACCTTAATTAATATAAACAGCCTCTTACCCCTTCATGCTTCCAGGGACTTACATAGTTAGTGTGTGCAGAGCACGTTGAACATACAAGAATGGCTTACTCCTGGCACCATAATACAATCGGGCCAGATTAATAGGCCCACGTCTCTGTCATTCAGTTAAGTCATCCAAGCCAGTTCAGACCCCAAATCATGATCAGTTCCAAATCTGCTGTGTTCTCAGAACAGATCCTGTCACATACTCCTTGCGTCCCGACGATCTGCTCGTCGCTGGCGGGCAGTGCGTACCTCCTACTTAGTTGTAAGAGGACTGTGGTTAAAGACAGCCACTCTCCACTTGAACAGCGTGTGTAGACCCAGTTATAATATCAAAAGAATCCATGAGCTGCCTGGACAGAAGAAGCCAAATCTCTTATGAAGATACACTCATAAATGTGGTAGGGCCATCCAACTGATTTTTAGAAGAAATAATGTCCTATCCTTTATATGAGCACATAAAAGGAAATATTTGTCTCTCTAACCTCCATTGTTTGCCTTTCAGAGACCCTCAGGACATTTTAGTGGAATAAACATTGTAAAACAACAGAGCCAGCCTGAAATGTCACTCCACACTCTCACATGAGGCATCTTTGAAGAGATCATAAAAAATAAGTGTTATAAAAACCTACACATGGAATTCAAACAAATTTAATGATTTTTTTAATTGCCTGAGGGCATGTGTGCTCACCAGAAAGAGAGAGAGACATGGGGAGGGGAGGGGAGGGGAGGGGAGAGGATAAGCCTCACTGTGGCCTCACGCCCCATCCCTTCTCTCCACTTCTTCCTCTCAGGATTTCGGCATGCACGTTACACACCTGGCATGGTTTTCAAGCCCCTGGGGCCAGAATTTGGACTTTGGTCAGCCATATGGGACCCAGCTCTCTGAAACCTTGGACTATGGGCTGTCCTCACAATTTGCACTATAATAAACCCATCCTTTAACTCTATTTTTCCATAAACTTTTGGAAGCCCCCTGGGAAATGAACTAAAAATGCCTGATTTTGAGGACTTACTATGTACACACCCTGCCCTGGACTTTGCACACACCACCACCTCTGGTTTTTATGGTGACCCTGTGACGCTGAACGTTGCTGTCACCTTTTACAGAGGACACGGGTGCAGAGAGTCAAAGCCATCTGCTCGGGTGGCAGAGCGGGCCTGTAGGGAGCCTGATCCAGACCGCACAGGCCAGCTCTCAGACACAGCTCTGACCCAGCCCTTACTCATAGCCCTGCCCACCCACTGGTGTGCGAGACCCCGTGAGGAAGCCAGCTTTCTTGTGCTGCCCGTCGAGGTGAAGCTCTTCAGCCTTTGTTCCATGAGAGGGAAGGCAGGGAAGAAGGAAGGAAGCTAGGAACACAAAGAAGAAAGAGGGGAAAAGGGAAAAGAAAATTTAGCACATCCCACTCCTGGTGAACCACCTGGGGACAAAGCAGGACCCATCGCACCTGGCCCCAGTGGTCAACCTGATTGGACAATGAACGCGTGGAGGGCCAGCGCTCTGACCTGCTGTCTTCCCTTTGTTTTGCATTTCTCAGGGGAAGTGTTCTTGCAGATCAAAGGGCCGCTGGAGGACGTTTACAAAATCTACTGCTACCACCACGACGACGCTCGCAGTGTCCTGGAGTCCTATGAAAAGGAGGAGGAACTGAAGCGACACTTGAGCCAGTGTGTCCAGTCCTTAAAGTAAGGCCTTTTCAGTGACGCTGCCTGACTGACCCCGGTTGCCCAGCAGGGGGCGCTCAGGGGGTGGGTGGAGCTGGAAGGGCTCAAGAACACCTGTTTTCTGAGCTCACAGGGTGCTCGGTGACATTCCCTTTATGAAAAGCTGCCCTGCCAGAAGCCTTGATTGGCATTTTTAACCCCCTGAGGGGATGACTAAGAATAAGGTGGAGAAGATTCAGGGCTCTGGAGAGAGAGGAAAATGGTGGATATGGGAGAAAAGGCCCCCCTGGCAGGGGTGACTGCCTGCTTCCTCGCAGTTCAGGAACACGTAAGAGCACGGGGGACCCTGTGAGCTAGAGCCGGTGGAGTCAGAGGACGTCTAGGGCCCTCTTCAGGGCTCCTTCTTGCCCCAGACTCACTGAGGGGACGAGGGGAGATTGGCCAAGACAAGTCAGTTGCAGGACAATCCTGCATGCCTTCCCTCTTCAGCCCTAAAACATTGGTGGGGGTGTTGCCTAATACACATTTTATTTCTAGAAAATGTATCTATTGAGTACCAATCTAAAAAAGATGATGAAGCACGAATAAGACAAAAGCCCTTGCTGTCCCACCACCTGATACACCCAGTGTGCATTTTTTCCTAATCTTGTCTATAGGCATACATACGGACATGTGTTGGGGCTGATGTAAACATGACTGGTGGCTCAGCGCACGTGCAGGCTCCGACCACACGGAGCGAGCCGGCGTCCCGCCCTGCGGCTCACCTTGGGAGGGCTGCTCTCAGCCGTTCACTTCGAAGAATTAGCCACGGTAGATCCAGGTGATCGGCGCTAGGACAGGCCTTAGCCAGCAGTGGCAGCTGAAGTGTGCAAATCTATGCACCACAGTCCGACTCTTGGGCACAACCGCCTCGTACGCTTTTAACAGGAGGCAAAAATGGGGAGCCTAACGTGGTCCGAGAGGTTTGTAGCTACATAAAGTGAAATGAGATTAAACGAGACCGCTCCTGAGGGAAGCCTTTCCAGGCAGGAACTGGGTCTGCAAGTGAGTTTAAACCAGACCCGGTTAATTTTTTAAATAGGTAAGAAAGCAACTAAACAAACAAATAGATAAAACGTCACCTTCACTGTCCTCTCCAGATCATTGAATTATTGTAGTTCTTTAAACCATTTTTCATGCTATAGCAGAGTAGAGTCAAGTCACTAAATGACGGGCATTTATTTAGCACTTGTCCTGTGACGAGCTCAGTCCTGGGTGCAAAGAATACAACAACAGCCCCCTCCCTTGCCTGGTGGTCAAAGGATCCAGGATCCCACGTGGCCAACCACAGTGAGAAAAACCTGCTAGGAACGTGTGCGTGCCCCCACGTCCACAGGAAGCAGAAGGGTGTGAATAGCTTCGGTTCATTGTTCTCACTATTTTCAGTTTAGTTCAGAGTGTGCGTATCAGTTCAGAGACACATTAAGGCTTAAAGTTGTATTCATCTTAATAAACTCAGACATTAGGACCGAAGTCCTTTAAATCTGCAGGCATGTTTTCCTGGGGGAGGGGAGGTAGGAAATCCTGGTGTTATCCGATGGTGAATGAACACCTTTTCCACCTTAATAGGGCAGCAGCAGTAGATGGAATCAATGTGTATCTTGAGCCCTTTGTTGCTGCTCAGTTTCTAGAAATGAAAGAGGGGAATCTCATAGCAAATGCACAACCAGCATTGCAGATGGCCGCCCCACGCCTACCCCGGGTGAGGCCTCACGGGCGGCGGTGTCTGCTCCAGAAGAGCAGCTGTCTGTCCAGGCGGGGATGGACAGCCATCCCGTATTCCTTAGGCTCTTCACTCAGAGAAGGAAACAGGTCCTGCTGGAACGTCCCACAGGCAGTAGAGCTCAGAATCATACCCCTAAAAAACCCAGCTAAACCGGAGGTGATTTTGAAATCTCATGAAGTCCTAATTACTGAAAATTACTTTTAGACCTAGTGGCTTATTGGGACTTTTTCTGAAAGCTTCAAATGATGCCCCCAAACTTGCATATTTAGAACCATTCCGATGTAGGGAATAATTTTAGGCACTGGAAGGTGTGAAGATTTGGAAAGCACAAGTCCAAAGGAAGCAATATTAGCAGAACTATTTCTTAGGGGAAAGGAAATCAGAATTAAATAGCTTACATTAGAGCTATTTTCACACAAGTTGCCTTTCCATGAAAATGAAGTTAATGATGGATTGTCCTGGCCTGCCTGAAGGCTGAGGGCGGTAGAATTATCGACATTACTATAATACTGACCTCAATTGAGCTAAGCTTTAAATTCTGAGAAACAGGTTTTCAAACAGGTTTATAGGGCAGAGTGAGTCTGGAACACCCTACGGGCTTGGTTTCCCTGCCAAGTAATCAGTCAAAGCTATTACTGTCACCCTGCCTTTGCCTCATGGCTAAAGAACAGCCAGCTTCTAATGGGTGTTAGGTGTGGCTTCCGCTTCCCCGTGCAAAGGGATATTGGAATAACTTGGTTTGAGGCAATATCCGAGACAGAGGTGACTTCACCCCTCAGAGACGAGAGCAGATTTGAAAGCAACAGAGGTCACATTTTAACCAAAAATAAAATATGTTTATTGAGGGCATAATAAATATTTATAAAGTGTACTAGATAATGTTGAAAAATATATATATTGTGTAAGGATTCTTCTCTTGCCTCCCAGGAACACAAACTCTGGTTGGGTAGATAAACAAAACCACTTGGAAAGTTTAACAGTAATGTGAGAGTTAACTTAAATGACACCCGGGAGCTGTCACAGTGGTGCAGTTTGAGGCTCATCTCTGAAGGATGGTGGGGATCTGTCTGGCTCTCTCACAGACCCAAGCTCACAACTTCTGGTTATTCTTTGAAGCACATTAGCTTTCAAAAGAGAATAGTATGTGTACCCCAAAATAATTTAGAACCCTTTTGAAAGGTACAAGCGGTGTTTCTGGGAGTGGGTGATCTACCAGGAGTGTGTATTGAAAGTGCGGATTCTGCTCTGTCCCAGGTCAGTAAGTAGGATCCGTGGTGATCTCCCAGAGATCAGGATCTGTTAGTGAGCATGCTCAGGGGTGTCCAGCACACATTCCAAGTTAGAGAAGGAGCGTGGGCCCCAGCACCACTCACTGCTTGCCCCCAGAATACAGAGGGCTTCCCATCCACATGGGTGCCAGCTGAGCGACCCTTTCCAACACCAGACATCTCAAGAGAGAAAAGCTCCAGCGCTCTCCAGAGGCACAGGGCACTCCGCATCTACAGTGCATGGATGGAGAACCTGCTAGTCTTTATTTTTACAACTGCGAGTGTTTGCAGAGTCACAGAAGTGATCCCCGAGACTGTGTGAAATACGGTATTAATACATCCCTAACGTGAAGGAAGTTCTTCGCTAAAGATCTGATTCCTAGTCTCTGTGGCGTTATTTAAGGTTCCTGCGTGTGGGCAGAAAGAAGAGCCCACCTCCTGCCTCCTACCTCCCGCATCCCCTCAGGGGTTCTTGTCACAGCCACCACCGGGTCTCCACTACAGAGCTAAGGCCTGACAACCTGTTTGTTTTGGAATAGAAAATGAATGAGGGGATTTGTTAAGTTTTCTGAGAGATAGAAGACAGGAGTCTAGCCTCGCAGCTGGTCAGCACACATGTACCTACTGTCCCCTCCTGCTAACGCTAGCCACCAGCCTCGGAAGGGAAACTTCCAGCCTCCCTGCATCGTGCCCTTGGCCGCTCCCCTCCCTCCTACCGCACAAAATCTGAGGACCACATCTGCATTTGCTCACCACAGAACAGCCCAGAGCTCAAGTAAAAGTTAAAATCACTTCTGGGGACCAGCAGATGGCGTAATGGTTCTATCACTGGACTCCCACATGGCTGTGCAGTTCAAGTCTGGACTGGTGGCTTTAAACTCATGCGGGGTACATGTGTGTGTGCCCAAGATCCCAAGAGAAGAATGGAGGAGAAGAGATGGTGGCACGGCCATCCCTCCTGGGGAGTGGGGGTGATTTCTTGCTTTATGTCTCTCTGTCTCTGTCTCCCCAGTGAGTACATGTGACACATAGCAAAAATCTCTCTAAAAAAAAAAAAAATCACTTCTGGAAATTCTTTCAGTTTCTTGTTAGAGGGCATCGTGTGTAATGAAGACCGTCGCCCTGAAGGAATAGCTGCATGACACAATAGCTAATTGTGACACTGTCAAATTACAGTGAGTTCCTGGAGGTAGGAGGTTCCGTGGCAGACAAAGTAAATCACTTTAGTGGATAAAAGGGTCAGTGGACATTGTTCAGCTTCCTTTTCTAGAATTGTCCTTGGCTAAGGTTAACTCTGGAAAGTTTCAGCCTAAAGAGAAACTTACTGAAATTATGAGCAAGTAGAAGATGTTATAGCGTAGTGCCCTTCTTTATAGATTGTGGTTTCCTGTCCTGGGAAAACTCTCAGGTTTCTTCTTATAAAACGTTGTATGACTCTTGTCAATAGAAAATAACCAACTCCCCTTTAAAAAATTAATAATTAATTCAGTTTATTTCTAAGTAGAATATGAGTGACCTAGGCCCGGAGAGGAGGCAAAGCATGCCTTTTTCTTAGGGTGATCAGGTACAGGGGTTCCTTTTTTTTTTTTTTTTAAAGAGAGAGAGAGACAGAGTTTGGAATTTAGTGAAAAGTTTTTCCATTGGTCTGGCCCAAAAAAGGCAGGTCACGTGGAGCGGGGAGGAGCTTGTAGGTTGTAGGTGGGTTTTACAGCTTTTACGTGGTGATTGGAAAAGGAAGTTTGCTGAGATCAGAAAGGAATGTACTTTAACAGTGAGAGGAGGCTCAATACGTGTCACAATGATACTCCAATACTATGCCAGGGCAGCCTGTAGGAAGAATCCTGTTACCAATGACCCAAAATGGTCTCTCCACATCTGTGGGTGTGACTCCCCCCAGGCCCTCTGGAAAGGTCTTTGGAAAAATAGGAAAAGGCAGTCAGACTTCTGCCCACACATTAAACACAGTGTTTAATTTGTTTTAATATTTGTATTTTATTTGGTTGAAATAAGTGGGTCAGGAAAAAAAAAGTCTATGTCTTCTCTAGGAATTAATAAGACAATCTTTTTTTTTCAACTTCAAATTATGTATTTTAGTTCTTATATGATCACATTGTTGACTTGGTTGTTTCTATGGAAAATTGCATTTTCATTTTTATTCATCTTCTCTCCCAGTTTTCTAATCTATACTCCACAAAGAATACTGAAAAAATAAAATTTTTCATTAAAGGGGATAGAAATTAGGGGAA